CTATTACTCATAATTCTTAATTCTGTTGCATCTTTAGGCATGCAAAATTGTGAAGTTTCTCCTAAACTGTTTTAGTTTAATTTGTAAAACTGTATATCTTTAAATGAGCAAGTATTTTTCTATAAACACCATAACAAATTGTTAAATTTTATGTAAGTACTAAATAAACATTTTTCGTTCATTTTAAAGTGGTTTCATTGTACACATGTAATTGAGGAATATTATGAAATCTTAAAAAAAATCAAAAAATTTTTAAACCTTTTTTTCTGAAATGCTCAACAACTGTCAATAATTATAAATTGTATTTTTTTTCTTCTTCTTCTTATTATTATTATTATACTTCAAAATGTCAAATAAAAGTATTGGTTATCTGTATCGATACAATCGATACATACAACTTTCATATTAAATAGAAATTGGACAAGACATAAAAATTAAAAATTGAAGATGAGAGAGAAAAAAAATATTTTTTTTTTGTATTTCAAAACCTACGATTATCTTTCCAACAACTTAACTTGTATTAAAATTAACAGTTTTTTTTTTATTTACATTATCTTATTTTTAAAATCAAAATTTCGAACCAATTTAATTTTTACTAAAAATGTCAATGTCAGATACATTTTTGCTATTTTTTCTGTTTAAAATTTTTTTGAACATGATTTTTTTTTTTTTGTCTTTTAACTATTTGAATAATTGATGATGCCCTTGCTTGTTTAAAAAAAAAAAAAATTTCGAACTTAAGTAATTTTTATTTATTTTTCAATTTTTTTTCTTCTCATTTTAGGCTCAAAAAAATCTAGTAAAATTTCATTCCAAAAATAAGGTCAAATCATCGAAGATTTTTTAGTTATATAGGTAACAGAAAAGTATAAAGAGAATTAAAATAATAAAATAAACAGCTAGGAGAACCCGTTATTATTTGTTTAAAATAAAGTACACATAATTCAGGTAGATAGAAGCTCATTTACTGGCCTTTATTGTCTTTTTTTTTTTCTTTTTGAATTTTAGATTCTTTACAAAATCAGTGCAAAGTAATATTACTCTTTATTTTGTATGAAAAATTTTAGGGATGGAACATTTATTATTTACAAAAATCGAATTCTAAAAAATTTTTTAATTAGAAAAATAAGAAAAAAAATTTTTTTTTATTCATTAAATTCCGATGACAATGAATTTTTTTTTTTATTTCATAAAAATACTCGAATTGTGCAAGTAAGAAAAAAATAAAAAAATTTTTTAAATTAGTTATTATTTTATTTTTTTTTTTTTAGTTTTTCAGTTCTACCCAAGACCGGATTTTTATTTAATATCGACAATTTTCTCTATTATCTTGTCAATAACAGCGCAAGAAAAAAGAGAGAGACTGATTGTGTTTTGGTGGTTAAGTATTTCAAGTACTAAATCGTTTCATTCGATCTTTTCGAAATGTGAATTGTAAAAGAAGTTTTGTTTAACTTAATTAAAGAAACAATTCGGAACAAACGATTTTATTTAATTAAAGTTGTTAACCTTTAAAAAAATTTTTTTTTTTTCTTTAACTTTAAATTGGACAAAAAATATTTTTTTATTTATTTTTTTTAAAAATGGTAATTAAATATGTTGTGTATGCGCAAATATTTATAATTTGAATTCTTACAAATAATTTTTTTTTATATATAGGTATGTATAATAAAGGTGTTTTTGTTTTTATTATTATTGCTTATGTTTGGATTAATTAACATAAATAAATTATATAATTTTTGTCGTATGCAAATGTACCTAAAGAGTTTTTTTTTTGCTTCGCCTTATACTTTTCATACGAAAATTATAAAGAAAACAAAATAACAGCAATAGCACAAAAAAAAATAAATAAATTTATTACTTGTATTATAAATATGAGTATAAAAATTAAAATATTTAAAGAATATCATAGAATTATAGAGGATACAAATAAATGGGGTTCAAAGAAGCACATCTTTCTGTAATAATTTTTTATAATTTTTATTTATTCTGGGCGTGTGTGAATATTGTTACATGAAAAATTTAAAATAAATTACTGTATATAGGGTTGTAATAGATGATGGGCCCATTAAGGATTTTTTTGTATATATAATTGAATGTAAATAGAATTAATCAAATCAAGCAAGACAGTGTAGATTATAACCACCATTATTTATTCTATACACACTACTATTTTTCAAAAAATTTTACTATCTAAATTTTCTAGAACCACAAACAAAAGGTATGGTTCTATAATATACTAAAATTGTATTCTTATTGAAATCTTTATAATTGGTCCGAGCTTTCAATACCTTTTGAAATTCAGCCAAATTCGAAGACAGTAATTCTGGAAAAGTCACGGAACTACTTTTTTTTATGAGTTTTGAGTTATGTATACAAAAAACTTCAGAAATTTTTAAACTATTTTTATAAAAAAACCCACGTAAGTCTAACGTTAGTATTTTCGGAAAAATAACGTTGTAAATTTTTCACGTCACTGCAAATTAGCAATTATTGTGTATATTTTCAAGTGCGTTTTTCTCGAAACATAAAAAAAGCAGTTTGGTGACTCTTTCATAATATATTGCGAGAAGATAAATTTATTTTTTGTAGAAAAAGTTATTCGATTATTTTATTTGTGGCATTCTTGAAAATATGCGGCATCTTAGGAACTGACTAGTTAGCTAGGAAAACTAATTTTGTTTAATTAAAAAATAAAACAAATTTAGACAACTTTTATTTCTCGAAATATATTTTTATAATTGAATAAGCTGCATTTATGTTTGTGGACCAATGCAAATTAATTGTATTTATGCGAGCTTTTAATAAATGCAAAGCCCGGGTATATTTGCAAAAAAAAAGCAATGTGTAGGTTTAAAAAGCAAGGCATAGGCATTTAATAGGCCTGTATTTTTTTTTTTAATTTACCGACCCTATATTTTTTCACGTTTCAGACCTAATACGTTAACAAATTTTTTATGTCAATACGCTTACTCTTTAGTTTCTTAAAACGGATTACATAAATTTGCACTTGCTTAAGTTCAATACACGCACTACGGTAGTTTAAAATGATTTTAATTAAATTTTTACAAGATCATGCTTTTTTTAAGTTATCAGGGCAGCTGCAGTACAAATTTATGTGTGAGTTGAATAAACGTTTTTTTTTACGAAGTTTTAATTAAAATGGATTTAGACTATAACGAAAATTAAAATGTCACGTCGCAATAGTTGCAGCGGATTTATTTAATGCAGTAAAGGACGTTATCTTAAAAACTTTTATCTATTTTATAAAATTCTCATCATACTTTTATAGAAATAGAGAAAGGAATTTCAAATGGCACATTAATTATTTTCCTAAAATCTACTTCGGAATAACCTAGTTAATTTTGAATTATAACGTTTTGTTGTGGTATTTATGGTTATTCATAATATCATTCATATCTATAAATATTAATTAATATTCATTATTATGCTTAGCATACAATAATTGTTTACATTGATATATATATGTAGGTTTGTAAAAATCTGTCATAATTTATCATTAATTTTCAACAGAGCATTTTTTTTTTTAATCAGAAGCGATCTTTATTTTAAATACAAAATTTCTTAAATAGCTAGAAAAGGTAGCCGAATACTTTGCATAAAATTTCGGTACGTTTTCCATACATGAACATAAACAGTTTGATTTACATATGTATAGAATTACATACGTACATATATGAATTGTAGGGTTACAGCGAAAATAATACTCTTATACAAATATGCATTCAGTTTTGGTTATGCGTTGAAAAAAAATTGAAAAAATTTTTTATATATTTTGCAACATTAAGCAGGGATGGCAAACACTTTTTTTTTTGGATCATGCTCAATTAGAAATAATTTATATACTGAAGATAGAGATGTAATTTACGTTATATGTAAATTAAAAATCGGCAAACAAAATTTTTATTGAAGAGTAGAAATTTTCTATAAAATGTAAAATAGTAACGCTATTCAAACGTAGAAGAAAGCGTTAAAATTCTGTGGAAGCTCACGTTTATTTTGACACATTTACCAATGAAAACTTATTCGCATGTATCCTAAAGCTTGCCAACTCTGATTCTGAGTACAGTGTTGTTGTTTGCCATCAATTAAAATTTCATTATTTAAAATTTTGTTTTGATTTTGTTTAGACATCATTAAATTTTAATTTATGAACCATAAAATCAGTTTGAAATTTTTTAATATCTATTAATTTCTGAGATAATATATTATTGTTTACATACATATATGTATGAATATACTCGATACGATATTTATGTTAATGACTCAAAGATGATCCACCTACATTAATTTGATTTTAGTTAAAAAAATTATGTGTGTAAAATTTGTTCCCACACCTCCAAATATCAACAAATAGCAAAACATATTCTTATTTTACAGCAGTATGTGTGTGTGTGTGTTCATTATACATCACACTTAAATGCATCGTTTATTAAACTTTATTTTACTTGGAAACGTTCCAATGTCAACTGGTTATTTTACTTATCAGAAACTAAAACCAACTGCATTATCTAATACAATATTTATTTAATAAAAAAAAATTATCTTTTCCAAGGATTCTTTAATAGACTATTTATAGTAAAATAAGGTAAACCGTAATATTATTTGAACATAAGTATGTGTAATACATACTAGATAATTATATAGAACTAATTATGTGTATATACTCGTACATTCATATAAAAATATGTAATGTGCTTTAAGAAAAAAAATTATTTTTTTTTATGATAAATATTATATACTTATAATGTAGTTGAACCAGAAAAGTGACTATTATACGAAAGATGAAGATCTATAGAGTTCCATTAACATTTTCTTAATCGATTATTTTAATACAAGTTACAACATTTTGTGATAAACTTATTAAATACCTTGTCATTAAATATTAATAAAAATAATGAATTTTTAATGGGTCTCTAAAGAGAGCAACAACAAAAAAAAATATTTATAAACAAGAAAATAATACAATTATTACTTACCTCAGGTATTATAATTATACCCGGTTTATGAGGAAATATTAAATCATATGGCGTTGTGAAATTAGTTGCTGTTATTGAACATGATTGCACTGACATACCACCTTTTGTATCTTTAACAGAAACTTGAAAATCATGAAATCGTCCTGGTTCAAGACGTCTTTGTAATATTACGTTTGCTTGGCAAACTGAATTATATTTTGTACATGGAAGCGTTTCTACTTGTACTATTGATGATGATGCATCTCCAACTAATTCAAATGCTAATGGATAATCAAATTCTTCATCTGTGGCACGCAATCTATATATAACAGAACCGACCATTGCATCAGCTGGTATTAAAACTAATCTCATTCTTGTTGATGGATCAAATTTTGGATCTACACTGTATGTTGTCATTGAAAACATTCCTATTAATAGCATATAGAAACGTAACAAATGTCCAGTAATAGAAGCCATTCTAAAATAATAAAAAAAAATAATTTTTTTTAAATGAAATTATGGCATTTATAATTATTATTTTAAAAAAAAAAAATAGATAATTTGATTTTTTTTTCTAAATTCCAAAAAGTTATTAGGTACCTATATATGTACATATACATATGTATATAAAATTTTATATTTTAGCGCTGAATTTTATTCTTTAAATAGTTTCCTTAAAAATTTTCTACTTTAAATGTTATGCCCCAAAATAAGATTTTGAATTCACTGAGTATCGTAAGATTAGAAATAATTCATCATATTTTAGAGCATGTGACATAATGTAAATTTTTCAATATCGTTATAGTAAAATTATTCCTTCATTAATATTTCAATCCCATGTATATACAATTTGAGGGCATATAAATTAATTCACATATGAAAAACGTACAAAATTAATAGCTTTCATTAAAATTAGAACTACATTCGCAGTATTATATGGCTACTCTACTAGGCTTTAATAGATATATCTGCCGATTAAGTTAATTATTAATAATTGTAAACTCACATTTTTGACTTCAACATTAGATAGTCTGAGATATTAGACTATCCTTAATCACATTAAGAAAGAACATTGCATAATAGTTCAAAACAGCCGTCGGCAAAGTGCGCCCCATTCAACTTCAAAATATATTCGATTGCGACTGTTAAAATTTTTCAAAAAAATTTTTAAAAATTTAATCACGGATAGATATGGGAAATATTAATATGGGAAGATAATAGATATGGTATAGGATAAGTCAGTTGAAAATGTAATTTTTCTTGTAAGTAGATAATATAGGAAACTCAAGTGGCCCATATTCATACTCATATAGCACACATTTGCCCTTAACCCACGAAAGTTTGCCGACAGCTGCTCCAAACGCTTCAGTAATTTTTAAAATTTTTTTGTATTTTAAACTCAACTATCCTAAAAATGAAAGCAAAAGGAGAGAAAGGAGAAAAATAATGGTAATTCTTCGCTGTTAGTAGTATAGCCATTTAAAATAACAAAATTCTACCCATAATAATTAATAGTATTTCAATAATTAAATTAAAATTTCGATTTTTATTCATGTAAATTTAATCTTTTCAAAATTAAATTTCACTGTTATTCTTCAATTATATGGACAACACTATTATTACATAAATTAATTAAAATTATTTTCCATGTGTATACCTATACATAAAGAGGGATAAAAAAGGAATTCATTTTGTAAATAATGCAATCCATCTTTTAATTAAATAAAAATAAATCAATAATAATTAAATATTAAATAACAATATAAAGAAAATTTTATTTAATTTCGATTTCACTTTTATATTAAACGTTTAATGAACATTTTATTATTTACAAATCAATTATTATTACCAAAATCTAATCAATTAGTTGAGATGTTAAGGATTATATTAAAAATCAATAATTATACAATATAATTTTTGTATGAATTGGATTAAAATTCCTCAATAATAATTTTCATATAATATACTGGTACTGTTATACTTTCTTTTAAATGTGCTCATTTATAAAATGGTGCTATAAAATGAGCATAAATAATTTTTATATTAAAATTAAAGTGTGCCATCTATACATTTAAATAGTTACTTTTATTAAGTATTTTTTTTTTTGTTATGAAAGAATTTCAAAAATATTATTGTTTGTTAGTTGGAAAACGTTAACAAAGGTTTCTTCAAAAAAAATCCTCCATCTTTATTTTATACACTTTTTTTTTTCTCCTGTTTTATCTTTTGAGAAATTTGTTTCAAATAATATACTAAATATATGTAGGGTATGTATGTAGATATAGAAAAATTACTACAATATGAACGAAATTAAAAAAAAAAAAATATACCCAATTGAATCTAAAATAATGATAGTTTTAATAAAAATTGAGATATTTGACAGAGTCACGATCTTATATACCATTGTTATTATATTTTTTTTTTATAGTGTATATATGAGGTGTCAAGCGTAGCCTTCGAAAAGGTTAAATCGATTTTCAGTTTAAGACAAAACGATTTTATTACTCTCTTTTTCGATTCAATTTTTTTTTGTTATTTTTATATTTGTTTGTTAGATTGTTTTTCTTACTTTGATTTCTAATATTAAATTTTTTTTTGTTATACTGTTGTTATTCTTAATATAACAAAAAATCATTCATCATCATTTCATTGTAATTTTTCTGCTCGTTTTTGTTTTTTCTCTTTTTTCTTTTTTGGCATCGAAATATAAATGGTTCAACAACGATGTGGAAAAAAAAATTTAATTTTTTTTTTTATTATAGAGTACCAATTTTTTTTTTATTATTATTGCAACATCAAAGATCGCGTCATCTTTCTATTTATCTCAATAAAAATTTTATATTCGTTTCGATTTCCTGAACGTATTTTTTTTTCTTATATGCCACAACATTTTCACGATTACTTTTTACTCCCTCTTTTGGCTACATATTGAAAATAGAATAACGTTGTTTGTCATTTAAGTTATTGTTGTTATTTTGTGACACACATACATATATATATACATACATACATATAATGCACATATATTTTTCTTTTTCTTTGTTTCATTGTAATATAAGTGACAAGTTTCCCATCTGTGCGCGCCGGTTTAAATTGCGCAATTTTCCTCTTTTTTTTTCTTTCTTTCTCTCTCTTATTTTATTTTTGTCATTACGACGGCGTACCTTTTTTCTTTAATTTTCCAAATAATGAGTATTGTGAATTTTTTATACAAAACACTAGTAAAATAAATTTATATAGACTTTAATTTATCTTAATTAATTTTATTATTAATTATAATTTTAAGAACAAATTTATTTTAAAATCGAAATTAAAATTTTAATACGATTTTTTTCTTTTTTTTATTTATTTTTGTTCTTGTTTTGTGTGATACGTGGAAATTTAAAAAAAAAAATCGAGTATTAATTGTTAATACCAACCTTAAAATATATAAAATAACATACCTACTTTTTTATTTTATAATTTTAATTTAAATTTATTTCAGAGTTACCGTTTTATGAAAACATATGGGTGGTATAATAATGAGAATATCAAAACTAACCCGTTGGAAAGAATTTATTTAAAGTTTCTTAATATAATTCGAAGACATAAGAAAGTGTTTCACATAAACGCTTAATAAAAATTGCTATTTCCAGTCTTGACATCATCCTAAATAAACTATTTGCAATATTTTTCATTTAATTAATGAACGTTATGGGAAGGAACAAAATTACACCACAAAAATCCGGATAATGAACAAACAATACTACACCACGAAAATTCGGATTCATATAAACAGAACGTTATTTTCAGATATTCCCTTATAATTTTTTTGTAGCAATATTGTAGTATGAATTACTTACATTAAGAATCTTCCGTATACACATTGTATCGTATAGTTTACGATAAGGTTACGATATATGGTTACGGTATTATTACGATATTTACGATAATAGGGATTACAACACGTCAATATTTGTAATATAGCAAACATCAATGTTTTTAATGTTCAAAAGAGAATTTAAATTAATAGATAAGGGACAGCTATGCAAAAATCTCAAAACTGAAAATTAATAATACCATATATAAATATTTCTTTCTAACGGTAACACATTTTCAAATATCAGACAAATATAAAAAATATATTTCTTATATCACATTTATTACAAAGAAAAATCTAACTAAACTCTATAACTTTATCTAATATCAGAAAATTGTACGTTTTCATTGAATTAAAACTTTATACTTCTATAATAATTCATTTACAATTTTTATGGTATTTCTTTACTTTATATACAGTTACAATTGTAATTGTAAATTTATACACATACTTACAAATAATTATTTCTATGTATAAAATTTAAAACCAGCTGTATCTGCAATATAATACAATAATCTCATAAAAATGTTGAAAATGTACTCTTAACTTTTAAATATTGTGGTTAAATAAGTAAAAAAATAACTTATAAATAAGTATTTATAGATAAAAGAAAAAAAATAATAATAATAACAAAAAAAAAACAAAATGTACCAACACCGTGATCTTATTCCCATTTACTTTCTTTCTTAACTGAACCAGAAAAACAGCAGAATAACTTTTATAACGTAACCAATCATAACCTTTATTAATACGAGTATAAACAGCTTTCGCATAAAATAAACGTACTTCAGTTGAATGTGATCAATAAAAACGAGTAAAACAACGACAATGTAAAAATCCAGTGCACAATTTTAATATTTATTAATCATAAATATTTAATAATAATGATAATTTTCACTAGGCTTCAAAGTGTGGATCTAAACGCAAAGCTATATTATACAAATTAAAAAATTGTTACACTTGCACGTACAGCATATGTAGTAATATGTGATTAAGTTTTCAAATTTTTAATTGTAATTTTGGCGTCATAATCGATTATTTCAATAAGTTATCGAATAGCATACTTATAGGCTGAAGCTTTAATTTTATACATTATTCTCTTAGAAATGAACTTGAGTCATAAAAGTAGCGTTTTTAATATGGTAAGCGTCCTGTCCATATCCGGATTAAGTTAAATTTAAATGTACTTTGAGCATAGTTCGCAAAATAACAACCAAATTTTTCAAAACCTGAAATTGAAGTTCAAAAGGCGTGATATTCTTCCCAATAAATTTTTGAAATAAATAACTATTCGGCTAGCTGAATAATTAATAATTTTTCTTTTTTAGAGTACTAATTTAAAATTAAATCATTAGAATTCAATTATGAAAGTCGTCATGGTGGCAGACAATTTCACTCAATAGATTTTATCTCAATAGATTAAATATCACAACGGTAGAAGTCGTTAATAACCATTATCGACTGAAATCCGTTCTATATCGACTTCCATAATTCCGGTTCAAGTTGAATGCTTCATTTACGCATACTTCTTCAATAAAATTTCTTTTGAAATAAATATTCAAATTACTAAGAAAACTCACTGGGTACATAATTTCAGAATTTTGAGCTTGTAATTTTAG